ACCCTCTCAACATAATCTTTAAATTTAGGGGCGGACATTAGCAACTTTTTTTTTTTGTATGGGGACCGACCCAGTCTAATATGCATATAAGTTTAAGCTAGGCTAAATTAAGCTGTAAGAATTAAATAAATAAATAACATTGTTAATTTATCTATGTATGTGCATATGCATATAAGGCCCAATTTCAGATGGCCTACTTAAGTAGAGATTGTTGATTAACTTCCTCTATTCATTTTAAGATCATACATTTAATCTGTACTGAAATGGCCAATATTGGCTATTTTAATATGAGTTATGCAACCCTGTGTTTGTACCAACCAACCAAGATTGATTGGTAGGTTGTTTTATCAATCCCACCAAAAAACAATCAGCTGTTAAGCACAAAATGTAAACAAAGGAGCAAACGCAACAATAATTTCAGGGAACGAGCAGCAGTGCTGCCAATTGCCTGGCATATTTAAACAAAGTTAATCTGAAACCCATCGTAAGCTAAATGGCATTTAAACAAAGAACGTAAATCTATTAGAAAATACGACACTTTATAAAGTGTAAAGAGTGGGAACACCAGGAGCGTGCTTTCTCTTTTGCCCAAATACGTTTTGTGATTGGATGAAAAGAGAAGGCGCGCTCCTGATGTTCACACTCGCTAAAATTATAATCCTCTTATAGATTTACGTTCTTTGATTTAAACAACAATTCACAATTAACCTTAAGGATGCCGTGCAATAAAGCTATAGGAAATAACGCCATATGGCTTTATTTCACTACACATGGACAAATAAGGCCATATGGCTAAAATTTTACATATGAGAAATAAAGCCATACTATCTTATTTCAATACAAAAAGTAAATGTTGCCTCTTTAGCGGGGGTCCGCGTTGGCTCGCCACCTCACTCCGTGCTCGCGCTCCGCGCCACGTGTCCGGACGCAGTCCTCCTATAAAATTGTTGCTTTGTTCATTCTTCTTGCTTTTGATGATATACATATGTACATATATGAGATTTTCTTTTGAATCAGTAAGATATATTTATATATCTATATATCGTCGTTTAAATTACAAAAACGGCGTATTTATTTACTTATTTATTAGTATTAGTACAGTAAGACGTAGTCTTTTCTTTGTAAATATTTACATTATAAATTCCGGTTTGTATCTAAAACTAAGCTTAAAGTCTAGGACTTATCCAGTTATTAGAGAGGAGTAACAGATAATAAATAATTAGTGAAAAAAATAAAACAGAGAGGATCGAGGAAAGCATATAAATAGGTAACTACAAGAAAAAGTCTGTAACTGCCGTCTTAAAGCATCTATCCGATTTGATATATTTAATTGATATTGGTAATGAGTTCCATAGTCTGACACCACTAACGAAGAATAATCTAGATGCCGTTAAAGTTATATATTTTGGTACGACAATGTTGTTGGTGCGAGATGATACAACAAATTTGAGTTTATCAAAAAGGTAGCCGGGTTTACGATATTTAATTATTTTAAATAGAAATAGAATATTTCGCACCTTAAGGTAATTTTCTAATCTGAAACCTAGAATACTTTCTGTGTATGTCGAAATATGATCATACTTTCGCTTACAATATATGAATCTCGCAGCATTATTCAAAGCAAGGTTTAATTTAGCTCTAGATTCATGGTCGAGATTTCCATATACTAGCCCAGAATTGGAGATTAGAGGAACGATGAATGTTTTTACAAGTTTTAGTTTTACGTGAACTGGTAGACAATAGCAACTATGCCACAAATTCCTTGATACATAGTAAATTTTAGTAATGCTAAAGCTGATGTGATTTGTGCAAGTTCGTCACAACCAATTGATATGTGATTTGCGTTTCATCCAGCACTAAAGGGGATAATTCACTGAGATCGAAGGAATCATGTGATATTGGCAAGACCTGAGTTTTTGCTGCATTTAAACAAAGGCCATTTGCCTTTGACCAGATTGATAATTTTTTAAGGTCATCATTAAGTCTTCAGACCAAATCCTCACCAAGACCAAGCGGACGCGTATCGTCAGCATACAAGTGTATAGATGCGTTCTGAAAGCAATTTATAATATCTTTGATAAAAACTGTGAACAATATGGGACCTAGGATTGAACACTGAGGTACACCAGAAGAGATAGCACTGCATTGCGAAATAAGGTTGCCACACTGAACTTTTTCTTGCCTCATCGAGAGATAGCTTTTTACTAACTTTACTGACGTTGAGTCGAATCCAAAATAATGTTGTAGCTTGATACCCATTGATACCCATATTGCAACATTTAATTTATCTTATTAATTAAAATAAACAAAAATTTTCAAACAGGTGGCAACGTTCCCCAAAAAATTTTTTTGGCTGTGAGCCTATTGAAACCTCTTTTCAAGGGATTGTTGTTAGTATCAATTTTAAGTAAATTAGCGTCCTTAAATTTCGAAATATCAAAGCTTCAAGCATTTCTGAAATTTACCGTTATATGAAATGTGGTAATTTTAGCCCAATTTCAATAATTTTCAATGTTTTGCTTCTATGAGGCAAGCCCAATAACAGTACCGAGTTTGGCGCAAATTGGTAAAACGGTTACCGAGATACATATATGTGATCATAAGTGGGCGCTGCCACGCCCATTTCCGAAAATTTTATCATAAACGCATTTCTTCGTAAAGAATTATTGCAAGCATCAATTTTGAATAAATTAGACTTAGTATTTACTGATTTATCGAAGATTTCGTATTTCTCCAAATTACCATTATATGTGATGTGGGCGTGGCTATTGTTCGATTTTAAAAATTTTCAGCCATTTGGTATTTTGTAGCAAAACCAAAAACTGTGCCAAGTTTGGGAGAAATCGGTGAAGCGGTTACCAAGATATACACATGTAATCATAAGTATGCGTAGCTACTCTTATTTCCCAAAAATTTATAAAATTTTTATTTTTCGTCTAAAAGTTATTGGCCCGTAGTCATAGTCAAAATAAAGTCGACTTTAAAGTTAGTTGCAGCTTTTTTGACAGATATCCCATTGAAAATTATGTAAAAAAGCTGCAACTAACTTTAAAGTCGACTTTATTTTGACTATGACTACGGGCCATTGTAAATATTAATTTTGAGTGAATAATCTTCAGTAGTTACTAAAATATCGCAGTTTTCGTATGTCTGAAAACTACCGTTATACGGGAGGTAGGCGTGGTTATTGTCCGATTTTGCCCATTTTCCAATACCATCCGTCCTATGCCCGAAAGAAGTATGTAAACGTACCAAGTTTCGTTAAGTTGTCTTAATTTTTACTCGAGTTATCGTGTGCACAGACGGACGGACGGACAGACAGTTATTTATGTATACATTTGTCTATATCTATCTCGATTCGTTTTGCCTGTTACAAACAACCCACGGTGGAGAGAATACAGAGGTGGCGCCGATGACGATACCGCTACTCGGCTCTCAGTGATTTTGACAGAATCAGCTGTTTTGGTGACGTCATAGTAGAGAAGACAGCAGTAGTGATGTGCTGAGTCAATACTTCTAAGTACCCAATACTCTCGATACTCGGTACCGAAACATTTAGGTTTCGAATAAAAGCGCACATAGGCCAAAAATATGGAAAAAACGCCTAACAAAACCCGAGTGTAAGAGCCAATAGAGCTTTTTTACTGATTCAAATGAAAGATGTATATATGTCGGTTCGATGCCATAATACAGAGAAACCCTTACTTGTTTGAAGCATTTTTGTTCCAGCTGAATCGGACGATATCATTTTTGGAGGCCTGGGACAGATTCTGTAACCAGTTAACGACAATTTTCGAATCGGTATCGGTTTTATTGACGTTTGATATCAAATATTGGTAAGTCAACAAGTGCGATATCGATCCGAAACTTGTCGCTAACTGGCTACAGAATCTCTCCCCTGAAAGGCTTTTTCATCCGTCAAAGTATTTTTCTTAAACCTTGGACCGACTAAGGTTAAAACTGATAAAATAATATTTTTCTGTGGCGATAAGTTCAAGTGTTTTAGCCGATATCATATAAATTAGTAATGAAAGTTTTTTCTAAACCTGAAATGCATATAATGGCGAGGGTTTAATGTAAATAATCGGTATCGGATACCGAAAAGGAAGTATAGGGTACCGAAATCTTTTTTAAGTATTGGGTACCGAGTATTGGGGACAATTCAGCACATCACTAGTCACCCTCATTCTCGCCGCTCTCAGTTGTCAACTCTACGATGACGTCACGCTAAAATTACTCTCGCGAATTCTGCTGCAATCGGCGCAATCTTGTATTCTATCATTCTTGCAAACAACCGTTATGTGAACAAAGTTATAATACCCTTGTGCACCCCTTGTGTATAAAAAGGTGGTGAAAGTGGTAGCCATCAATAAAAGAACAAGCAAGTGCAAATGGTGTCAGTTCAGCCAGAGTCAGATCAGTCAGGTTTTGCATTCATGCTGAAACGTCCATGTTATACAGAGGATAGTATGTCTTTTCTCTTGGGCTCCGGAGCGTCTGATCATTTAATTAATAACGCAAATCTTTTCATGACTGTTACCACTTTGGAGTCACCTGTTAAAATGTCTGCTTCATGATATTACCGCATACGGATTACTTAGAGACTTCAAAATGTTTAGTTCGTATGCACTATTTATCTCTGCGTACGATGAGACCTCAAGGGTAATAACTAATTACCGCCTTGGACTCTTTTTTAGCGTGCAGACATGCATACAATTTTGATATTTGTTGATTATTTTTAATTTTTATAATTTTTTAGAATATAAATTTTTTGAACGTTGGCGTGTCAAATGAAAGCTTTTGGGTCTTTCTGATTGGCCGGAGCAGAAAGCTTTCTGATACAACTCTGTGCTGAACTGGTTTTCAAAGGAGTTAAATGATTTAACTGGTTCAATTTTCCAACAACAATTGCATGCGATTTAACTTGTTTATGAACATGTTTTGTTCATTTGACTGGTTCAAACCCATTTAACATGTTTAGCTCGTCAATTTGAACGTAGTATAACGTTGAAGCAGAAACTGGAAAACGGGTACAGTGCATCCGGTCCGATAATGGATTAGAGTTCGTCAACAAAGATATGGCCGATATATTTCGTAAAAGAAAAGTGGTTAATCAAAAATCAACACCATATACGCCAGAACACAATGGTCGCGCTGAAAGGGATATGAGGACAATTATCGAAGGTGGACGGTATATGATTCATGCCAAGGAATTGAGCCTGAAATACTAGGGTGAAGCATTGAATAATGTCGTGTACACTCTCAATCGTACTGGTAAATGCCAAGTGGACGGAAAGTCGCCATTTGAATTGTGGCTTAATAATAAGGCCGAGTTATCTGTGCTTCGAGTTTTTGGATCGGAAGCTTTCATGTATATACCCCAGGAAAAACGAAGAAAGCTTAATGCGAAATCCAAGAAAGGCGTGTGTGTCGAATACGAGGAAAATTGCAAAGGCTATAGGATTTGTATACTTAATGAAAGAAAAATTGATGTTTCGAGGGATGTTATCATCAGAGAAATGTGCAAGGAATCCGCATATGTACCTGAAGAACGCGCAGAAACAAAATCTCCAGTTGAAAAACCAGATACGAACACTGACAATCCAGAAATCAGAACTGATGGCTGTGACGATATTTTTACTAAAGATCTCGGTATCGAAAACGCAAGTAATGAGCTAAAGGTACGTAAGATCGTTACACGTTCGAAAAGTAGAGAGACTGAAAGTAAATCTGCTATGCGTATATTGCTGAAACTGATGAGCCGGACTGCTATGAGAAGGCGGTCTAACTATTGTTCGCAGTTGAAGCGTACCATGGATGAGGAGTTTAATTCGTTGATAGCAAACCAAACCTGGTCATTGGTGAGTTTACCTAAAGGAAGAGCAGCAGTTTTGAATAAATGGGTCTACAAAGTCAAGCGTGACAGAAAAGGTGAAATTTAACGCTTTAAGGCGCGTCTAGTGGCTCGCGGCTTTACGCAGAAGTTCGGCACTGATTACTTTGAGACTTTTAGCCCGGTTGCCAAGTTTACGTCCATTAGAATGATTCTAGCGATGTCAGTTGAGCTTGCCATGATTGTAAAGCAGTTTAATGTGAAGGCAGGGTTTCTCTATGGCACTCTTAATGAGGAGATTTATATGGATCGACCTACTGGCTACGAGGATGGAACTGACAGGGTGTGTAAGCTGAGCAAAAGTCTTAATGGTTTAAAGCAGGCATCGAGATGTTGGAATCAATAATTTAAGCAGATGTGAAACAAACTTCCTCCTAAACTGCTGCCCAAACAACGGAAAACGGGTAGGTGTATATAGACTACAGCGGGTCGGCATACCTAGCTATGCTTCAGCTTAGCGCAGGGAAATGGGAGTGGGCTTGCCGTAGTCTTATGCAGCGGAAGTTGTACATAAAACTTATATGTATGCCGAAAAACATAACAAGGAACATCTTTATAACAGGAAGCTAAGCCAGCGAAATCATTAAATCCTAAGGCAGCAACAAAAAAAATAACTTACATCCACACCGCAGTGTTCTATTGAAGTGTAAATAGGGAATCCACAACGACTATAGCTCAAAAGAGGGGGGAAAAAAAAGGATGGTAGCTTTTCCCCTGTCGTTACCCACCCAACCTGTTAATGACGCTGCAAGTTCATGTCCATTAACCCAATAAAATACCTATGTCATATAGCAAGATGTACCCCTACATTTCGTCATCTACAACGTTAAATTAAAAATCCATAGTTACAATTCAGGCAATTATCAAATTTTTACTAATTTATTATATATTATAATTATTTCTAAACCTAACCTTAACATAACTATATTAGGTTTTTGAACAATAATTATTCAAGTGCTCAATGTTTGCAAAAAAAAAACTCAAACCAAAAAAAAATCCAAATCAAGTTAGGAGCTTACTATGCTATCCAATATTACACTATTTTTTTTTATATTAATATTATGTGTATTGAACAAAATAAATTTTATAAAAATTATATTCAACTCGTTCTAAGGTTCCCTAGCTCAAATGCCGGAAACAAAATCCGTTTTAGTAATATATCGAATTCGCTTGAACAAAGGGTATGATGACCACCGGAAGCGAACCTGGTCTCAACGTTACGCTAATAGTCACACTATTTTGAGCGAATTGGTTCGAACTCTGCCTACTGATATTTCGCTGCTTACACAGACAAATACGTGCATTCACTTGTAATTATGATTTTTTTTCCGCTTTAAAGCTTTTTTTTTTTTTTTTTTTTTTTTTCGTACACTAAATTTAGTCAAACATTTCTCAATATCTCCTCAAAAGAAATTTATACGTAAATTGCCAAAAGAAGTTTATATTTACTTACATTTGTTTACTCCATCGAAGCGACGTTGGGCCCAGCGACGACGACGTAGCAGAAATGTGTGCGGTCGATCATGTTCTATTCTAGCAGCTAGCGAGCATGTTCGCCAGGTCGGAGGGAAAATTATCTTCTGAGCAGAAATTATTGAAAAATGTTGTATGCTCCGGACTGTCAAACAGGAAACTTTTGGTTCGATGCGTTTGATTACTTACGACTAAACGCTTCTGATTTCGATCGCTAGTTTTATGTGCACATATATATGTATGTATGTACGCGCGTTCACCTCTGATCCGGTGAGCATGCTAATGAATTTTTAAGTAAAGTAACTAGCTACTCGTTAAAATAATAAGAACAAAAAAAGTAATACCTGATGGTTGCATATGTACTATGGTTGTAAAGGAAAAATTAAGAGCAAAGAGCATTGCAACTCCTTGGAAACTAAATCTTACGATAATTAACACATTCTTATAACAGTGATGTGTAGGTGCAATGTGGAAAACTCATCCTGAGATTTACTATGTACATACTAATATTAAACTCTACCATATTCCTAACATAACTTTATATTGCGACTAATTCCTTTAATTAATTTTTTTATTTTTTTTTTTTTTTTTTTTTTTTTTTTTTTAGAGTTTAAGCATTTGAATCATTTGCATGCATCCATTTGGCGGGATTTTTACAGCTGACATTAAATAGTGCTATGTATATCTTTATATTTCCGCGAACCTCTAATAGAGACAATTTGATGGAAATACTTGATCCGAATGAAATAAACTTTTAGATGGATTTTTAGCGATTGTATGGTTAACCATGAAAATACTGAGCTTGACGGCGCGGTAGCATTCGTCTACAAGATTACATTAACATGGTCATGAAATCTATGGAGCAAATCGGTGAGTTTTGCGGTGGAACGGAACTGTACTTGAGGCCTCTGGGGCAGCCGTGGCTGCTGCTCTTGGCGGATATGGCCCGAATGGTATATTCCGTTGTTTTACTCTTCATGCAACGCAATTTTGGTGAGGTTTGGTCAATATTTCCAAGCTGTAGCCTTGAACGAGTCGACTTTTATGCTATCCACGCTGATTTCGAAACTCTATGGAAACGAAGTTTCGTTAGTCACTAAACCCCAAATTTTCTTTGCAAAGCAAATTATTAGACATACCTTTTCCAATAAGAACGCTGTCTAGAAACGTTGCTGGCTGATGCAGCTAAATTTATTCAACTATATTTTCCACTGATCCAATGGTCTTACATTAGGATCTTACTACACTTTATGTACGCACTTTTTTTTCCAGACACCTGTGGCTCCACTCGATTGTTGCGAAGAACTAAATTTTCATTGCCAAGCCAGAGTAGAGCTAAGCTTTACAAATGTTGACCTTGGAAAATAGCTAATCGTCCGGCAACGGTATCCTGTGCAATTTGTTGGCTTGCATTGTTTAGCGAGCGTCAAAAGAAAAAAAGAAGAGAACGTACAAGTTTTAAGCATACGCGACTACCTAGGCTCGCTAGCGATATGTACATATGTAGATCACAAGAAACCGTTTGCGCAGCTACGTCATCAGTCGCGTGATTATGCACACCAGGTATGTTGCGAATATATGCATTCGACATTCGCATTCGCATAAAATGATTAAGCGTGCCATTCGAAACATCCATAATGCACACACAAATGTATGAGCTTGGTATGGTGCGACGGGGGTGATGTGTGAAGCTGTAGTTAATCTTCAGTGAGTTTTCTCTAGCTCTTCGCTGGCGGAATTTAATATTTCGGGTCTCGAATGGCCCAGTGGGAAAAATGACATATGAGCACTACAGATGCTGGAGAATTTTAATCTAAAAGTTAGTGCGGCGGATCCGTGCATTTTTATTGGCAGTTTCAACGATGCGAAATTAATTCTTGCGATTTATATTGACGATGGCATAATAGCAGCGCAGTCAGCAGAAGCACTTTGTAAACTGATCGACCATCTTACGAAAGACTTCGACTGGGATGCTCGACGCCAAGCCTGTCACAACTCCAGCAGAAGGTGCACATTTAAGTACAGAGAGCAGTCAACAGGTGCAGTATCCTTATCGAGAGGCTGTTGGATCTCTTATGTATCTGTGTACAGTGACACGACCAGATCTGGCTTATACGGTGTCGTAAGCGAGTCGCTTTGTGGACACTTATATATAAGAGCGAACATATCGTCTTGATAAATCTGCGAGGACTCTCAGTGAAGGTATTTTATTTGAAAAGGGTAATAATTTGTTTTTGAATTGCTTCAGTGATTCGGACTTTGCTGGTGATTTGGGGACCAGGCGATCTACTGAAGGTTATGTGGTCATGTTTTGCGGTCGACCTATTTCGTGGTCGTCGAAAATTCAGCAAACAGTAGCTCTCTCAACAACTGAAGCAGAGTACATGGCCGCTTGTGAGTCAGTCAAAGAGTTTGGGTTCGACGATTACTGGAGGAAGTATCTGGAAATTACACAGTACAAGAATTTGTTTGGACAAGCGCGATCGAACTGGTGAAGAATTCACAATACCACAAGAAGACCAAACATATTGAGGTCAAATTTCATTTCATCAGAGAGGTATATGAGAACAAAGGGTTCACGCTTAAGTACGAGCCAACAAATATACAGCTGGAGGATATTTTCAAGAAACCTCTAAAGAATTTAAATTACAGTAATTCAAAATCGCTCTGAATTTTTTTAAAATTAATAATCTGACCAATAAAAGTGGATTTGTTGGGATCACGAACAGCTGTGTACCTGGCTGTGTTTGTTGCATCAGATTAATCGTTATTTTGTCTTCGTATGCAGGCATGCATACATACATAGATAGATTTTATCCAGGAAGAGTATATCAACAATGTTCGGATTTTTAATTTTACTTTACC